CTGCTACAGAGCATCAAACTACATGTTGTCAATCATGGAATATCCACTAAAATATGTAATTTCATCCATTTGTATTCTATTTTTTCACAATTAGCTAAGAATAAAGTCGGTCACACCAGTGACTTCAACTAGTAGCTTCATACGAAATCATGAGCTAAATGAGAAAATCTCTGATAACGATAAGTGGACTTACCATGTGCTTTTCTTCATAGATCTTCAGAAAATAGGTAAAAGGAAGTCAAGTGATGTCATCAGACTTTTATTTTAAAATAAGAGATTTTTTTGTTACGCGGTAACACCATTGACACGACTCCTAGGGACATGACTGTCATTATATATTTTATAAAATTAATTTATAATTTGTTTTCTTTATGTCATTTAAATCATATATTTCAATATATATGAAGTCATGTATAGATTATTGCAGTAAATTGTAACCACAACATGGTATTCAAGTGTAATATATCTGTAAACGCTAGGGACACAAAAATTGACGTTTCTGTAGAATGACCCCGCTGTATCTCAGACTAAAGTTCCAGGCCGTTATCACACGCCATCTTCTCGGTTAATTTAGTTACTGAATGACTGAGCTGGACTGAATCGCTCCACATTAAACATTAAATGAACCGCTGAGTTGTAACTGGGCCTTAACCTCTGTTTAACCTGAGATTCAGTGATTCAGACTCTTAAAGCCAGTGAATGTGAATCCTGTCCGGTATTTGACTTTTCACACTGCCAGGAGAAACCTCACACACACACACACACACAACACAATCACACACTCATACACACACATACAGTCACACACACACACACACACACAATCACACACTCATACACACACACACAGTCACACACACACACACACACACAATCACACACTCATACACACAAACAGTCACACACACACACACACACACAATCACACACTCATACACACACATACAGTCACACACACACACACACACAATCACACACTCATACACACACATACAGTCACACACACACACACACACAATCACACACTCATACACACAAACAGTCTCACACACACACACACACACACAATCACACACTCATACACACACACACAGTCACACACACACACACACACACACACACTCATACACACACACACAGTCACACACACACACACACACACACACACACACACTCATACACACACACACACACACACACACACACAATCACACACTCATACACACACACAGTCACACACACACACACACACTCATACACACACATACAGTCACACACACACACACACACAATCACACACTCATACACACACACACACACACACAATCACACACTCATACACACACACACACACACACACACACACAGTCACACACACACACACACACACACACACACATCACACACTCATACACACACACACACATACACACACACACACACACACACATCACACACAGTCACACACACACACACACACACGTTGTACATTCAGCATGGTGGTGTGAAGGCAGTAAGATGGAGGACAGTCAGCCTTAGGACTGGGTTCTGAAGTTGAGGTCTTAAATAATAATATTGGGTCTATTCGGCACCAAAACGATGCCCAGCTCTCACAGCACGAACAGGTCAGCTGGACACTGAATCCACCAGCTCACATGCTTCTCCAGATACATTCAAACACAGTAATTCAGTTTAGAAACTACAACACCCAAATTTACACACAGACACTGCATGCAACTCCCACAATCCTCTTCTCTTTTACCAGCCATAAGTCTCTCCTTCCATCACAGTATCACAGTAGTGTATATTATTTCAATTTGTCAAATAAGCACTTAACCAGAGATACATTGTCTGTATATATATATCAGTTAAGATAATTTGAACATGCCTGTGGCCTTTTACACTGAGTGTAAATTTCATGATGAATGGACTAAAAGAAACGGCCCAAAATGACTTTAAAAAAGTCTGGTTCCATTGACTTACATTAAAAGTAAAGTAGGTTTTTTCCATCTCCTGTAAAGTTGTCATTTTGGAGATACAAGGTTTTGTCCCAACAGCAGCGATATATATAAACATTCTTCTATTTTATACATAAAAATGTGTTTATTGTATAAATAATACAATGTTGATTTAAATATTGCAATTTAACCACACCATAATGTAAATGCTTCAAAATGTTTTAAAAGATTTAATTTAGTATTCGAGAATTCTGCAATTTATTTGTGATTAAATTATAAATAATATAGTTTTTATAGCATTTTGTGAACCTTTGTAAGATATATTGCACAGTAGGAATCCAGAGTTGGTACTTGTCCTCAAACCAGGAACTGTTTGGAGAGGAGATTATATATATGTGTATATTATTTACGATGGAATCATACTTGCTAAATAAATAATGTACAGTCGTACGCAAATGTTTCAACACCCATTGTCAAATTTTAGTTTACAATTTCTATTTACTTGCTGAGTATAATGTAAACATTAAATATAAAATGTGCAATAACTTTCGCAGGCATCTTATTTACTTATTTATTTATTTCTGAACCATACGATTAAACGAAAAAAATAAAACATAAAATATAAAATGTGCCTTAACTTTTGCACAGACCTCATATTTATTTATTTATTATTTCTCAACCATACGCTTAAACAAAACAGCAATGAGAAGCAAAAGTTCTCTCTAAACTTGCTCCATCTTTCTCAGAAATGTGTTTACACAAGAGACGTCATTGTTTGAACAGAGACGACAGAAAAAAACGTCTGAGCAACATTCCAGCTTGAATTGAATCCCACAGCTGTCTGAAAAGTACTGATGATCGCTGTTTAGATTTATCAAGCGAACAAACCAACTTCATTAACCTGCTGAGAGCATCTGCACCACAATCAGAGCACCACAACACCTTTTACACAGCTGGACAAAAAGAGGAAACTCTGAACTGTGTGGTCAGTTGTGAACAGGGTGGAACCATTCGGGAAAATATCTAATTGTGATTCTTCTGACTGATATTGTTAATGCAATTCAAACTGTGATTATTTACCACAAATTATGATCCAGGCCTCTTTATTTGGCAACAACACCTGCACATCCACTTTTCTGGCCTGAGGCGTGAATGCTGAATGTAATGTATCACACTGCCGGTTAGCTGGGGTTGCACATGGCTGTTTGCTTGCTTCTGATTAATCTAACTCGTCTACAGGCAGTTATGTTCACAAGCTCTGAG